AAAGGAAGAAGGAAGAAAGAAGAAAGGAAGGAAGGAAGGAAGGAAGGAAGGAAGGAAGGAAGGAAGGAAAGGGTTATTTTTGCTTTTTGTACCCAAGTGTAGAATAACCATATTTTTTAATTTTTTAAGAAGTAAATTTGTCTTCTCTGGACATGTTCTGCTAATCCTTCTGTAGAGATAAGGCTGGTTCATAATTATAGATGAGTTACAGAAACTTAATCCTATCTCTGATTTAACATCATCTCCTTCATTTTTTTTCTTTTTTCTGATTTGTGCTTTTCCCTGTCTTGGGGTTTTGTGTATATTGTGGAGGGGCTCCCAGGCGTCTCTCTGCTCTCTGTTCAACTGTTTACTTTTCAATCTCTATAGTTCAAGGGTTTGTGTTTCTCAAAGTAAAAGGCAGAGAAAGTCATCATCATGAATAAGTCTTTTACACCCTGAAGAACTGAGGAGGAGAGAATTTTAAAACCTTGTGTAAAATAAACTGTGTGTCATCATTACATAGTTTTGATCCAGTTCATTAAGAGCATCATACCATCAGATGTTAGATTTTGATGAAAATATACAATAGTATTCCTGGTATAAAATGGGCTTCTATGGATAACCTTCCTAATTGACCATGGAACATACATCTAACCTGACTGTAAGCAGATTTAGTATGATTTGCTATTTGTAATGTAGAAGGAACTGGGAGAATGTTACTCACAACCCATCTTTCATTATGAGCAGTCTGAGGCTTGCACTAAAAACACTTAGACAGGTAAAGCCTGAAATAGCATGGACTAAATGTGAGGTTACATTGACGTGTTGCATTTAAAACAACTAGAAAATTCAAATTTTCAAAGTGATGCTTAATCAGTCCTGAAAATGAGCTCTGAAAAGGCCAAAGGGGGACTAACTTGCCTAATTAAAAATAAATGAAAACATATTTTTCATTCATTTTGTGACAAGCATATTGATTACATGAAGTATAAAAAATGCGCTATGAAGAGAAGAAAATCTTGGTGAATACAAGATATGTCACCATAAAGAGAATGGTGCCAGTTTTTGGAGGCAATGGAGTGGATAAGTGGTTAATTTGATGTTAAGTGCAAGGATATTGGAGCCTGGGCTGGGATTTTGCTTTTGCCACTTACTAGCTGTATGACTTGGGGCAGTTCCTTAAGTTTTTTGTGCCTCAGTGTCCTCTCCTATAAACTGGTGATGGTAATCACAGTCCACCTCATAGAGCTGATATGAAAATTAAATCATTTAACACATTCAGAATAGTGTCTATAGGTGGTAAATGTTGGGTAGATGTTTGCTGTTATTATTCAATGACTTCTGTGAACCATCCCTGAATCCACTATTGTTTTCCAAATCTGGCAGTGTTGTGCTTGTCAAGAATTAAAATGGAGAATTACAAAGCACTTTAGGAAGCAAGAGCTCAGGAGTTTTATAGTCCTCCCCTCAATACCCTTCCAACTGAAATGGCACATCCCTTTGAGTTCAAATTAGGTTATGTCAGCATTAAAGCCTATCATGCAGTGGGCTTTTAGTTCCCTGCCTCCATCCAATTGTTATTGTCTCTGATAATCTTCCTGGGACTAACACACACACACACAGAAACTAGTTCTCTGCATTCTTTAGCTTCTACTTTCTAGTTGAGGTACCTCATCATGGGCTTTGCTGACTGTGCTCTCCCTGTCTGTGCTTCTTTTATGAGGGTACTATGGAGTCAAGGACTGCTGTGACCTGCACTTAGAGATGGGCCAACATTGGGTTAAACTATTATCCGGGCATGAGAGTCACACTGGCTAAGTCGTCACACATTTCCAAGGCCCTCTTGCTAGGGCTGGCTTCTTGGGTATAAGACCTGTACTGTGCACAGGGCTCAGCACTCAGAAAGGCCCCATCCTTAGCTTAATGCTCTATTATTGTTATCTTGAAATTCTCAATTTTATGTTCAAACTTTTGTTTTGAAAGCAAAGTCTGATGGGAAAATGAAGCATGGACCTGAGCAGAGGAAATATGCATTGTGTCCCTCTTTCCACGCCACCCCATTTGCACATAGTGTTTATGTTGCCCCATGCACATGAAATTCAGGTGGACCTATGACATGTGTGAGTTCAGTGAGTCAAAGCAAAAGTGAGTATAAGTCAAGTGTGTCATTATGTCTATGACTGAGTGACAGCCCTAGAAATCACACTGTCCATTTTAACCAGAATTTACTTACAACAAAAAAAGAAATACAAATGACCAAGAAACACTGTCATAGCTTTCTTACTAGTGTTACTTCCCTGCATGAACCATCTGCTTACGTTGAAAATAATGATGTAGAAAGAAAGAAAAAAAGGTAGGGCAACCCATAATTTCTTTTCTCCCCCATTTTCTTTTTTACTCATTGGTAAACTAGAGTACATTGGTAGAATATACATGTGTCAGGAAGTGAATTAAAAATAGTCAAGGTAGTTTTGTGCAGGGTTTCTACTGTTCCGGTAGGAATGAAATACGTATGCACGTATGAGTTATGATACACAAATTGTGTAATTTCAGTGATTCCAATTATGAGTTAAAGATTAGTGGTAAAATTCATACTAACACTTTCATTTTTCTTTCCTTAGAACAGTAAATAGCAGATAAAACGTGTCATGATATGAGAGAGATTGCAGAAGAAAGGAAATAAGTTCATATTCTTAATGTCTTTAATGATACTCCTGATTTTTGAAAAATGGATTTTTATTTTGCCCTAGGCCCCACAAATTATCTAGCCAGCCATGCTTCTTCCTATAGGTTGACCTACCTTTACTACAGAAGTTGGTAAAGCTGAAAGCTTGGTTTCCCAGCCTCCTTTGCACCTAGCAGTGGCCATGTGACCAAATTCCTGCCAATGAAACATAGCTGAAGTCTACTGGGAAACTGCAAAAAACCGAAATGCTCGGTACAAAGAAAAGATACCGAATGTGCTACTTTTTCACTTTCTGCCCTCCTTGAACATTAATATCATGTTTTTAACATAGGGAGGAAGCGAGAGAATTAAAATGACAAATCAAACTACATTCAGAGACTGCGCTATGCTGATCAGCCCTGCAGCCTGGCCACAGAGGACACCTGTAGAACAAAGGAAGATTTCTGCAGGGATTGCTGATGACTGTTTCCCACATCTGTGAAGGGGAAACAGGAAAAACAGAGTCTGTAAGTGGCTGCTCTACACAAAATCGTTCATTCTCTATGGCTAAAACCACAGGGAACCTATGGAATAAAGGCTGGGGAATGCCAGCAGGTCTTTACACTATATATTCTTACCTTTTCACGCTACATACTGTCCCCTTTCCATTTCCTCACTGTAGATTCCTCCACTCAGGGGAAATTTGCCCTATCCTCCATCACTTGGAGCTGTGCAGACATATTGTGACTATTTGGCAATAAAGAGGAGCGCAGAAAGCTGGACGGCTACAAAAGTTGGAGTGAAAAGTTAAGAAACAGTCTGTGTCCTTGAAGGCCTTGAGCTGGTGAGCCCAAACCAGCAGCCATTAATATTGGGATTTTTTATGTGAGAAAAATATCCCCACTACTAATTTTAGACACTGTGAGCCTTTCTATTACTGTAGTCCATTTGTTACTAATAGGCACATGGGCTATGAACTGCCAGCCTGTGCCTGGGTTCGTTCCTCGAAAGAAAACAACTCCTCCTGCCTTAAGCCCCATCATTTCTACCATCAGGGCTCTAAAGCAGTCTCTCACTGAGGGAGGCAAGGAGGCAAATGCCATGTCGACCCTACCATTCTCCTCCTCCCTCTTCACTAGCTTCTGTGTTCCAACACTCCTCTCCATTCTCAAACAAAGAGTTCTGTGATGATCAATCAATATAAGTAGGCACTGGGCAGAGGTAGCCTCAGATACACCCCAGAAACCTCTGCATCTCAGCCTTAGCCCAGTCAAGTCACCACGTAACTTTTAGAATGGCAATAATTTCCCTTTCTTACAATTACGGTAAAATAATAGTGATTGAGGTCGGCCAAATGAAGAGAATTGACAGAAAACTTCATGACTAACATCATGAGGAAAACTTGTCATGAAAAGTTTCAGAGTCAGGTTTTTTTTTATTCCTTCCTTTATAACCACCTCATCTTTGGTCACCACAGAAGTCCAGCTTCTTTGCCACTGAGTAGCCCATACTGTCATCTCCCTGGAGACTGGCACTCATATGATTTCAGCACATGGTAGAGGTTTGATAATTAAGTATACAATTCCAGAGAAGCAAGGGAAAATGAGAGGCTCGATCCCCCATTGGGTGAATGACATGTGACTGGCCCTTGTCCTTTAGCATTGCTGAAATTAGGACATGTTAACAAGGCTGCTGCTAGTGCGCAGCCTTGTGTGTCAAAGTTTGGTATATCAACTTAGAACATGAGTCTTAGTTATTTTTAATAGAAGGGAGTGAGTTAAAACATTTCCCAGAGGAATTAGGCATTTTTATTACTTGGCAATCTCCTCCAACGATAACAGTTTAAATATTTGCTAAGGACTTTTGGGGAGCTCCTATCTTTCACCAGAAAGCTTTGTATTGAACTTGTTCCGGGAATATGGGTCAGAGTCCTCACTCATTAGCTTATTCCAGGGTCAGTCCAACTCCTGGTTTGGCTATACCCTTTGTGCTTGCCCCTCCCTGCTTTTAGCACAAGAAAGACACAGAATTGTGTTCTGTTTGGCTCTCTCTAGACACCACAGTTAACATTTTGACAGAGTTTGTAATCACTGACTAAAAAGATCTCCCTACTACAATGCACAGTTTTATAATAAAATACCATAGAAACTACTCACTTAAGAATTGGAGCAGATTACAGCTTTTTTTTTTACACTTTACAAACATAAGATTATCTTGAGAAAATCAAAACCTTCTTTCTTTGTATTGCCTTTATGTGAGAAATTAGCGGGCATGCTGGCTGTTAAAGTTCAACTTTTAGCTTAGATCTATTTGATGCCTAAATAAAACCCTTTTCCAGGTAGAAGAGGGTTACCATAAAAGCTGAACTTTCAGCATGCAGGTGTGAGTAGCACCTGCTACTAAAGAGATGATAAAGAAGTCTGTTTCACCTTGCTGGGACACTTCAGTAAACGCTGCCTTCTGCTTGGTCAACAGTAGCTCCTACGACATTGAAATGAATGTCCCTTGTACACATGAGCAATGGTTAACTTCTGGCAAGATCTTACAGATTGAGTCACATGGAAATGGCACACAGACTCAGTGGGTTAGACAAACTGCAGAGCATCTGAATAAGCCAGATAATTTGTGCAACATGTTCTTATCAGCAGCCTTCTCTATCTGTGGCTTTCTGGAAGCTGCTTTTGTGTGGAGTCTGTTTCTCTATAGTCTACTCATTGTTATCAGAAAGGAACCAAATATTTCAGTTAAAGGGAAAGGTAAGGCAGTAATACTGAACATCTCATAACAGAAAACATCAATCAGTGACAATCCTTGCACAAGTTTGTCTTATTCATAGAGAAGTCAAGTTTAACACCAAAACTTATATACTCAAACAAGGCCTGCCTTGGGGCTATTTCCTTACAGATCTAAGTCTTCTTCAAAAGAATAAGGGGCTTGAACTTTTATACCAGGGAATAGTGTTCGTGAGTATCCTGGTGCTAAAGTCTGATCATTGGCCTTCCTACCTCATGCAGAAGCTCTCCTGAATGGCCTGCACCGATCTGGGTCAGTCCATAGTTGTGTCTTAGTGAGGTCAAACAAGAACAAGAGGAGGTGCAGGGTAAAAAGTGTGAGCCAAGAGTTCACTATTGAATGATTTTTATACTCGATATCAGTTGAGGTTATTCTGGTACTTCCGTTAAACTCCCAGGAAGGAAGTAGGAGTAGGTCTGAGAACGGAGAATAAGGCATTGAAAGATGTCAGGCAGTATTTTACTCATGGTCATACTTGATGGATTTCCACTTTCTCTTCATCTTTGTGACAATCCCAGAAAGTATTATAACTAACGTTTACTCACCTTAGACAGGTGTATTTTATACCTTGACCATAACACATCAACACAAAGCAGGGGTCCAATATTAGAACAAACGGATGGTAACATGAGATTCTGCCATTCCAGTTTATTGAAATGAGTAAATTTATAGCTTTATTTGCATACAGAAAAGTGCACAAGAAAACAAAGTATGTATAAAAAAATTATGTGGCTGATCATCACTTTCAAAAATTTTTCTACTTTCAAAAATTCAACTACCTAGAAATAATTACCTCCAGTTTATCACATTTAGGTATTTGGACATATAAAATACTAATTCAAGTCTGTGTTTGTAACGACTGAGTAGGAAGCCAGATGGGAAATTATGCCAAACGTGATCAGCTATTACCATTAAACATAAAACCACAGGACTTTAGCTTGGACTATTTGCAGCTAATCAACAGAGGTTCATTGAGGCCACCATCTTATTTAGATCCTGAGCAGTCACCCTCTCCTTCTACCTAAAGGTTACATTGTATGTGGTTGATTAACACCCACAAGAACCTGAGCATTAGGGGTCAAGAGACAACATTAAAAACCCAAAATAAACAAACAAAACTCATTTTGGCAGGAACAAATCCTTCAGAACTGTGCTAACAACAGGACTGAAAATGAACTGGTAAAGTTTCCAAGATTATGAGGAGAAAAACAATGCAGACATTAGATTTTTAATGATAAGAGCAAATAATTGTTCTACAGCTTTTTTTTTTTTCTATCCATCTTCCAACTAACTATGAGATTGCAGCTTCAACAGAGTTTTCCAGTTACTTGATAAAGGTCTAGCATGACCCCCAATAAGCACCTAATATGTTTGGCACAATCACATTTAACTTTGTGACCTGTTGCTCTTCAGAATACAGTCCTTCATTGCTGAGCTAAGTTCAGTTTTTCTTCAGCATTAACTGCTCTTCTGGAAATTTAGCTAGAGAGGATGGCCTCTTATTCCACAGAAAGGATAAAGGTTGTGCCCATTTGCAATTCCAGTTCCTGGGATTAATGATTACTGAGAAGGCAGGGAAGGTTTAGATCTGTGAATCATTAGATATTTTGCCCCACAAAACTTCATTTCTTGTAAAAGGGAGGTGATATTATATGAACCCGGGAGCAAAAGTGATCAAAAAGAGAATCATAGGGGAAAGGAGAGGAGAGATAAATAATGCTTTTTTGTCATCTGCAAAACTAGCAGAAGATTGGAAAGAGGACAATCCTGCCCTTGAGAGAAAAACGATCTTCAAAAAGAGAAGTTATATCTTTAAAAAAGTTCTTAGGTGTGTCAGATTCCACAATGCCTAAGGAGAAGTTGGATTTGCTTCAATTTTACTTTAAAAATTCTCTACAAGTGATGGTCCGAAGTAAGATTTAAGAAGGTGCCTTGTTCCACTACAATTTTTAGGTTTTGTGCTCTAAAATAGAACCCCCAAACGACCTTGAACAGTAAGGATTTTGAAATTTATTCAAAACAGTATGATCTGAGGGGTTGTGGTAGCTGCGTCTCCCAACCAGAGGGTACATGGTAAAACGTTCTAGAAGATTCTAGGGACACAACAGGCATTGGCTCAAGTAGGGCAACTATTTCATTTATGCTAGAGTGTTTAGGTTCTTAATTTATTTAAAGCTATAGATTCAGTTTAGCTTTAACCTAAACAGAAAGTAAAAGGCATTTTACAAGTGGAAGAGGCAGCAAGAAATAAGGCAACAGATAATATGTCAAAGCTGGAACAAGGGCAGAGGTCGAGACTTGTCTGGCTATTAGTTTTGTCTTTGATTGTTAAGGCCAACCTTGTTGTTTCTCTGGAGTGTCAGCATGCTAAGTTCCTAGGGAAGTGTGGAGAAGGAAGAAAAAAATCCCGTGGTTAGAATTTTAAGGTCAAATATCAATGTATTAAATGACAAGTCATTTAAAATGTCAGTGATAGTATCTCTTAGGACTAAAGCAAGAGGATTAAATGAGATAATAAATGCAGAACCTGTAATAAAGTGATTAACACAAATGATCAATAATATTAGCTATTTTCTCCCATGATAGCTCTCATCCCAATCTGTAAGTTTAGCAGGTTGACCAAAATTATCTTTCCTTCATGACCTAAAGAATAAAGGACCTCCAAAGAGAACTCTAGTCAATTCAACTTAGTGCAAACAATTCTCTCAGACTCCTAATATAATTCATTCCTTTCTATTTGTTCAATGCCTCCCCTGGAGAGGAGGGCGAGAATGAGTCTATGCTAAGCTTCTACCCCTGCAATATACTACACTGCTTTGTTAGCATTAGAAGTCACCTGGATGCTTATTAAAATCAAGCTTTTCTCCTCAACACCAGAGGGGGATATTTTAGGGCGGGAGGCGGCTGGAATTTGCCTTTTCGATAATCTCACCCAGTTCTCTGAAGCAGATTTTATGGAAAAGCACTTTGGGATACACTGGAATTGCAGAAATGGATTGAGGCAGAGAAATAGATTGCAATTAAACTCAATCTTATTGTTGATGTAGATTTAAGATATTTATCTATTTAAAGCAAATTCTAGATGAATCAAGACATAGTTCACTTGGATGGGGTGAGACTAAAACAATGGGTTTGGGTTCTTTTCAGTCTTTCTGTGATTCTCCCCTCCAGCTATGCCCTACATCCTCTAAAATGCAGATAAGCCTCCTTTCTTCCACTAACTTCAATCTTTAAAGATCAAAGTTACTTCCACTCATTGCTGAGAAAGAAAGGGTCTCTGTCGAAGGGAGTTACGCTAATAATTTACCTAGGATAAAATCCACTGTGAGAAGAATCAACCTGCAGACTCATCGTCTACACTTACACTGTCTTTGAAGGAGATATCTGCAGCTGTCACCATTTTTGGATTTAATGTCATCAGACTATTTCAGACTAATTTTGAAGGCCCTCCCAAAGAAATAAATACTGATTTGGGAGGCAGAAGCATTGTGGTCATCATCTGTTTAGTTGACCTGTTTGGTGGCTTCAGAAGGTTTTTAGATAGCAAACCAAGTAATTACTCGGATGCTTTGCAATCACTTAAATATGAAAGAAAAACTATTATGCTGTGTTATGCTGTGTTGTACTTCCATACAGAACTGAAATATCAAAAAACACAGGATGTGATAGAAATGCATATCCCTATTGGCATATTACTGTTTTTGATATATATAAGAATTCTATTCTTGAGTGCCCAGACTAGACATTATCAAATTAGCTAAGTATAGATTTCCATGTGTATTGCTTCTAAATTACAAAGATGTAACCTCTTCTCAATTCTAAAATTAAAATTTTACCCCCACCCCTGTCCTACCCTTTCTCACCATACCCAAGCTTAATAGGATCTTCTACTTACAGAAGTTAGGCAAAAGGACTTCCAAAAGGATCCCTGTATACATCAGGAGATGCAGGCTGAGAAGCCATCTGTGGAGATAAAACCAACCAGTCAATGAGTATAATTACGGTTATAGGAAAATACCTATAATTAACACTTCTTAAATTCCTTTAAAAATCATTTTGGTCACAAACAGGTCTACAATAATTTATGTATGCCTGCTTGTAACTGGTGATGTATATTTATTATTTACAACAAAACCAAGGTTCGGGTAAATTATGTTTGTCTTCCCAAAACGGGTAGTAGTATTTTTGTAAGTTGAAGTATCATGGGCAGGCAATCAGGAACTTAAATCTTTGGAAAAATTTTTAAGATAGTATTTCGGCTTAATTTTCTCCCCAAATGCTTTCATGAGCTAGGTTAAGTGGGATACAAAGGGCTTCTTCTATGTGATATTCATTTCTCCAGCTCAGGATAGTAACCCCTGCAAAAAATAATCTTTCCCCAGTTTGAGCTGATGTTCACAATGTGATGGTTCTCAATGATAAATCTTATTCAAACGTCCTTTACCGTCAAAGAGTTATTATACATACAAGCAAGATTAATTCAGGAGGTGGTAGCTTTATGTGGCATATACTTTGGAGCAACAGCTTCTAGCAGTCAATACTTACAGAAACTTGTGATGAACTGAAAGAATTTTTAGAGAAAGGGTTCTCAAATGCATTGTCAGAAGATTTGGTAACTGGCAGGGCACCGTGTCTGGAAGCTGGCTTTGGTGGTTCTAAAAGGCGAAAAACCCGAGTAGTCAGCATATAAACTTTCCCCAAATACAGGCAGAAGTCTCCAGTCAGGTTTATTTTAGAAAGTAAGATCCATACTTTTGAAATTTACATCAACGGAACAAAAATCACCACCAAATACCTGGACTCCCAATTATTACAAGCAAATTCAAGACTTCTCAGAAAAGAAAGCCATGCATATTTTTACCTGAAGTAGAAGAGATCAGAATTTCCTCACTTTAGGCTGTGGAGTGTGTTTGAGGCTTTATTATATAGCCCTCAAGGCACCATGCCCCATTGAATTTTAATAGCTCATCAGCCCTTTTAAGAATCATCACAAGAGGGCAGCATTGGGCCAGCCCTTAGAAACAGCTAACTAAGATAAATAGCTCCATAAAGTAAATAAATGATTGTTTCCATAACCACTGATTACCATCTATCCCAACTACCCCAAAAAGGCAAGAGTCAGGCTATTGGTGGGTGGCAGAGAGTTCTTCTGAGGGACTCTGGGCCCATATGACAGTAGAAATACTTGTTGGCATAGTAGATAGAGAAGTGAGTAGCTTACCATTGATCTTTTTCAACAGTTGATTAACATCAAAGTCATCATGGTCTGCATTCTCTTGAGGAATGCCAACTTTGCTGTTGAAATAACTGGATAAGACACTTGAAGTCCCAGAGAAAGTCTGGTCTCCCTTCCTCGCAGGCACCACAGGTGGCTGCCGTAGTTGTAAGTCCTTAAACATTTCTTTCACTTCCTTGACTTCTTTATCCCCAAGTGGGTCCAAGGCAACGAAAGCATCGGTGGAGATGTCCTTTGGAGGGCCAGTTCTGGGAGGTGGTTGAGGAGGAGTGACCAGGAGAGAGGAGAGCATAGAAGCGGGCTGGGCAGACACAGTGGGAGCTGGAAAAATATTGCTCTGAAAAGGATTACCCAAAGGGCTTGTTGATGACCAAGTATTGGGTGACACAGATGCTGATGGGCCCCAAACAACAGAAGCTGGAGGGGAAGTTGAGGCTGCAAAAGGTGAAGGCTGGTTCCAACCTGGGACGGCTGGGTTTGTGGTAAAAACGACTGGCTGACCGAATCCTGAAGGCTGACCACCCAGCACAGCTCCTGGCACCACTGAAGTGGGCTGACTGAACACTAAAGATGTTGGGTTCCATGGTCCAGCCTGAGGAGGTGTGATTGGTACACCACCTGAAGGAAACGGGAGAAAGGACATATCAGGAGACAAACCTGAAGAGGAGTCTTGAGTTGCAGAAAACACATCTCTCCTGGGGAGCATTTACAAAGCTAAAGCATCTACATGGCGAACGTCTTCATCAATCCTCGAGATTGACAAGGAAATAAAGTTTCTGAGAGATTAAATCACCTAAAGATTAACTAGCTAATACAGTATAGCTAGCATTCAAATGCAGATTACATTTTGAAGCCCTTTCTTTCTACTGCACCTTTTTCCTTCTTAGAAGAATAATATGGCCCATAAGCACCTCGTCATGAAAACATGAGCCCTTACCCTACCTACACTGATGTATTTCAAATAGAACAGAACCTGTCAATAGCACAAACTTATCTGTTGAGTGAATACATTTACACATACAAACCATGTTGATTATGAAGTAGTTAACTAAGATAACCCATACGGTACTCTGCTTCATTGATTTGATCCTTTCATTTGGCAGTGGGCTCCTATCTGGGTCTTATGGAAACCAGCTATCACGAATGCGCCTTAGGCCTCAACATGCTTTCATCCTGAAGAAACCATTTCAAAGTTCTCTTGCTTTTAAATGCTGCCAAGGTTGACACGGCTATATAAAAGGATGATAAAATTTGGTTGATGCAAGATAGTTTTAGATTTTTATATATAAAAATGGAGGAAAGGCTGGCTATCTTGGGAGAGCTGTTTCAAATAAAAGTGCTTCCTGCCATGTGTCACTCACTAAACTTTGCCAGAAGTTAGAACAGAGTACTCAAAAGACGAAGAGAGGGAGAGAAGACACTATGAAGCCCAATAACCTTCCACAGTAACTAATGGCCTATGTCCGGGTGTCTGATCTCCGGTGAAACGACTACGTCTCCTGCACCCTTGCCATGTTGATTAGGAATTAGTGAAACCCCTAAAATCCAAATCTCCCCAATGTTTGACCCCCGTCTTCTTGAGAAGCTCATTCCCTACATCTTGTTCTAATATGTGGGCACTTTCCCTCCTGCCTCTCCCCAAGTGTATTAATGGCCCAGTTAAACTGTCGCTACTAACAGAAAACCTAAATTCAGCTTCATACCTATTCAGGAACAACTTCTGCTCTCAAAACCTACTTGCTTTGACCTTTGGAGCATAGCATTCTTTCATTCTGAAAGTTTTCTAACCAAACTAAGGCCTTCAAACTTGGATTAGGAATGTTTTTGTTTTCAGAGTGAGAAATATTTTGAAAATGGTATTCAGGGGCTGAAATAGCAAGATAGTCTACCTCGAATTTTCTTAGTATTGGAGATTGGTGTTACTTGATTCAACTCTATCATGATGAATGCTAGCCATCTGGCCATGAACACATATGCTGTGCTCATGGAGAGTGGTAGGTTTCAGAAAAGGTCATCTTACTAAATTAACATGCTTATTTTGGAGGTGAAGAAACTGGGTATAAGAATATTAATTACTAAAATTGGGAAAGTTGCAATTTGTGACAGTAGAGACTAAAACTCAGACATACTGGCTCCGAACCCAGCACTCTATGCTAGCCTCCTGTTCTGATTCCTTGGCATCAAGGAACAGGACTATTTTTAAAAAAATAGAATGCTGTTCAAACATTTATTTTGTATAGTTACAGAGATTAGACTTCATTTACACTAAAGCATATACATATTCTTTTCACAACTAATTGACAGTTCTCTTAGATTCTATAATATGGGCTCCTGAAAGTGAGTTTGAATGATGTTATTTCTAGCATATTAAAAGAAATTTATTTAAATTTTATTAACCAAACCTAGAGTAACTCACTAATAATTTATGCCAATTAGATGTGCAAATTGGGTAGAATTTTTAATGTTTCATGTTGGACAATTTGCCTTCCCTTCAGAAAATGTGTGGCTTTAGTCATAGATGGTTTTAGTGGGAGTGGTGGTAAAAGAGAAAAATATTATATTTGCCAGGAATTAAAGGCTTTCACTGTATATACTTATGCCAGCCTTCCTTCCCCTCAGCCAGATTCCATGCATTGTGTTTCCATGATATTTAAGGCCCCCCGTGGAGAAAGTAGAGGCAAGAAGTAAGAAAAAAGTGTAGTTTAAAAAAAAAAAAAAGTTAATTTTATTACCTTCTGATGCTAGATTAAAACACAGGGTGGTTAGTCAAAGCTGGAGGCTCAGCTTTCTACAATACCCTCTCCCCACCCCCAGTTCTCCAAAGGAGACAGTCCCCAGCTGGGTCCAGCGGAAGCCAGACCTACAACCTTCCAGGGTTTGGCTGAGGATCCCTGCTAGTGGACAGGGGCTATACTGTAGAGCTCAGTTTGAGTCCCATGTCCAAACTTGGAAGAATCATCAGTATTCTGCAGTTGTATACCCCAAGGCCTCAACAGAGGCACCTAGCCAAAAAGCTTCACTTCGTCTGAATAAATTAACAGTTATAGGGTCCAGCTGTATTTTCAGGCTGACTTGTTAAATATTGGCTGTAAATATTCTTCAGGGCATATTAGACTACAGAACTCTGTGATGTGATCTAGTCACAGGCACTGCCTGCAAGCTCT